TTAGACCTCATCTTCTTTATTGCAACCTCCTATATGGGAAAATGCTTTGACATGTTAGTAACTAGTGTAGGGGAAGAAAAGATGGGTTGCCATTGTTGAGTAGCAGCAATTGAAATTGGCAAAAGCAAGCATACATTCTCTCCTAACACTCCAAAGTACACACTGCCATATCCACCTTCTCCGATTTTCTTAGTTGCTTCAAAATTGCATGTAGCTTCTTCAATCTCCTCCAGATTAAATATTACCGGTCTTTCTGATTCAAAAGCTGTCATATCTGTATCATGTAAATTCACTATCAAGAAGCGAATTTTCTTTTCTTCTCTTGTTCTTTTTTGACAAAATATGATTAAATAATGTACAATCAGCAGTTTGCAGAATTTTACATTTTGAGTATTGGTTAATTTCAACTGACCTTCAATGTTTTCTATAGGAACATTGCTTTTGGATGCGGCTCTCTGGCTCTGGAAGGAATAGGCTCTATTTGAACTAAGGCTTTTGGTTGTACCTTTTGGATCTTCCTTACTGCTCTTTTCGGTTATTTTCCTCCAGAGGAGGATAGTTATCAATGCAACCATTAAAAGTAATGTCACAGCTGCTAATACACCAACAATTATTGCCCACTTCTGCATTCTCCCTGAGACAAATTGCGGAATAAAAAAAAGGCAGGCAGGAAGAGCAAAAGTTCACGGAAATTTTTTTCTTCTATAATTTATTAAAACAAAGAATTTCCGTGGTTTCCTGCAAAAGATGTTAAGATTTGTTCTCATTTTATCACTGAAGATGCAGAAACTTATTCAGTTCGATTTTCAGAGCTTTGAAAGGGTAAAAAAGAGCATCTACACTTGGAAATGATGGCGAGATTGAGGTCAAATTACTCAAGAAGAATGATGAGATATGTTTTCATATTGATGCACTAGCCTCGTGTATCATCATGCGAAGTGAAAATCTTACGGGCCCTTTTTTTTCTGTGTTTTTTTGTTTTCTAGAATAGTTTGAACCATCAAAATTTCAAAATCCAATATTCCTGAAAAAAGAAGACCCAGCTCACCTTTCTTTGGTATTCCATTTTTCTCCTTTGGTACAAACAACACCCAACCAACGTCTATGAACCCTGGGTTTGTAGATAAATTCCTGTTCATACTCTCAATAGCACTAACTTCAGCTGATAGCAGGGTAGCTATATCTGATAGCGTGTCACCCCTCTGAACTGTATATGTCACCATAATCTGAGAGTCTCTCTCGACACACCCGCACATCAGATGCATGGAAACAGTATTCCCCACCTCAAATGATTCATTCGTCCAAGTTTGGCCACTATAAATTCTATCCGAAACACCCAGCAACGTGTCTCCTTTCTGCACTTCATAAGAAGCATCATAGAAATATCCTTTGGTTCCGTTGATATCTTTGCAAGAACATGTTACTGTGATGAGGTAATCTTCTTCATTTCCACGACGGATAGGATTGATATTTGACTGGGGAACAGAGTAATAAGATGCAATTTGTTCTTTCTGGAGACCAGTGTTCTCGTGGTACAGCGAGGCATTACATGTGTTGATGCCTTTGGAGCAGGGTAAAGGATCCACAATATATGTTTCATTTGAGGCCTCGTCTGCAGTAGTTGTAAAAATCAAAGTTGCCAATAAACTGAAGATCAAGCAGAAAAGGAGATCAGGGAAGGCCATAGGTTTGGGCTTGAGATATGCCCTTGAAGGAGAGAGAGAGATGAGGAAGACAAATGGTTATTGTGGTATTATCTGTATTAGATAATGGCCGATGTTTACAATGTACTGATCCTGATGATTACTTTGTCAAGGCTAACCAACAGATGGTGCACTTGTATGCTAGATATCATGACAAATTCCAACCAAACGTAGTGAGTATTATTATATTTATAATTTGCCTTGGTTTTGCCCTTATACATAGGTCAGGAACCCGGTGCACAGTGCATTGTCCTATGTCTCCTGCGTATTATGCCTTTCATATGGAACTCAGATCAGCGTGCGGTTATGGTCAAGCATATTTCGTATTTTAGGTGACATCTTGATCGTCAGCTAAGGTGGAGAAACTGACATGTAAGAGGACTGTGTTTCTAAGCTCCATAGCATGATTTGCCGCAATAAGGTTTATTTTTCGACAAATGTCTCTCTGGTTGAAACATAATACAGGTTGCTTTTTTTGTTGTTGAATCTTGTTTGGAAAATTTTGGGGGAAAGATACTATGCCGTCCACATATTAAATAATTGTTACTTAGTTGTTTTGCTTTTCCTTTGCAAGTTATTTAATGGCTAATGCCAGGTAAACATTGTAGATTAAAAAGTCCAAACTGTATCGTTCTGTTGAATGATTCTATAACCATAGGAACTGCAACCAGTGCTCAGAGTATCAATATTACGACCAGATGGCGGAAAATTCCACCCTGCTTAAAAGAAACATTTGTTGTCTCCGGGGAGTTTTAGTTTGAAATTTTTCTCTTGCTTTCTTCATTCCGAAGGTAACAATATATACACATACATATTCTTTGTAACTTATTCTAAGCTCAGAGCTATGTCCATATTGAGCTTTCCCTACAGCATCTTTGTGATACAAAAAAAAACGACAGTCAAAATAAGAAGTAAGTGAAGCTTTGTGGTTAAACTAATTTAAAACATATCTGTTTTAGATGTTCTCCCTTGTAAGCGCTTGGGACCCACATAAGCATTTGCCGCCTAATTCTAAATTACTTGGACCAAATCATGTACCCGGAGAGATGCCGGCCATCACCTACTTTATGAGATTTTGACTGGAAGAACTCATTTCTTTGGGGCTACCACTTAAAACGCATACTAACAGGTCCCCACACCACGAGGCATCTTTGTCCGGATCTGATTCTCAAACGGCTCAATTTTTGCCCTCTCATGACTCTCGAGTTCCGACGCTTGCCCATGTTCAATCAGGTTCGGAAAAACAAATAGTAGTAAAAAACTGTTCTCTTTGTGCTGTTCATGTATACAGATGACAAAGAGCAATAATCTATTGTACTATGAAAGAAAAATTTAAAAGAAACCAATTATAATTTGGAAATGCATCAAATTATTTCGAGCCCAATACTCTCTCCATATTCATATTGTCATTCAAAGTTTTCGTACACCTTCTGACAGTTTAGTTAGTCAAAATAATACTATACTACTACTCAAACCCCAAATCAGAGGCTCGGCTATTTATGAGGGCCAAGTAAAGATTGAATTCTGGAGCTACATGTCATTTAGCTGTTAATGTCTTACAAAGCAATTAGAGTTCCTAACAAAAATATCGAGCATTGTTTAAAGGAGCACGAAAATGTGCACAATGTTTACTATGAACGTGGATTAAGCTGCTTGTAATGGGATCAATTAATGACAAGCACTACCGGGGGCCTAAAAACTGTTTTTGCAGAAAATACATATATCTAGAAAACACCTTCCATTTCGTTGATGATTTCCTCCACTTTTAGCAACATATCTGGAAAGATAAAGTAAAAGCCTAATGTTACAGAAAAATAGGAGGCAGGAAACAGAATTCTCCAGAAGAGCAATTAATCATTATCAAATAGTTGCTTCTTGGATGACTCATTTCAGTTGAAAATATTTTATTTAAGAGTAAATGTTAGTCCTTGATAAATTTACAGGAAAAAGGAACATGCACATATAAATTGATGAAGTAGCATGGTAAATGGGTATGTTAACATCAAGCGGCCTTTGCATATAAGGGATAAGCAAAAAAGGAGCCACTATACGGTGGCCTTGAATGAAAGGGTTAAGTGCACCTAGAACATAGGGGTACCTTGAAATGAAGAATCTTCCATGTATTTCTGCTAAAAAGAGGAAAAGTATCAATAAAAAGGAAAAAATGTCAAGCCATCTATAATATAAGCATAATTATAGGCCTACTGGGGCTGTTTGTTCCTAAAAAGTGCTTAATCCGTTGAATTGTTGGAAACTTCCAAAAACGTTTTTATTAAGAATTGGAAATGTTTTCGGATCTTTTATAAGAAAAAAACAAGAGAAAACGGAAATATATTGAAAAATGAATTTATTTCATTCTTAAAAGAATGATAATGTTTTATGGTTCTCAAAAAAAAAAAATCTGTAAAAGTGTTATCATTCTTGAAAGACTGATAATTACTTCAACAAGTAAACTGGGACATTAATTTGATTAATAGATAAATTCGGAGGCATACCGCTATTTGGGATTTGAGATCAACTTCCTCAGTTCTACTTGATTGAGCTGCAGATATCATGTCCAATAAGGAAAATGTGTTATCAAATAGAATCAAGAAGGATTTCAAAATATGTCCATATTCCGTGCAAGAAATTCACCTTGTTGATTCTGAGAAAAGCAGTTAGTCAGCAACGATGTGAAACTGGGTGGCAAGGAGTGAGAGATGCCTTTGGAGCTCTGGTTATGCCTGGTTTCTTGGCTACATGAGGATTGATCAACTCTATGGTTCAAACTCGGCGGCATTTGAGGAATATAAGCACAGACGGGAGACAAAATACTTGGATCCTCACAAGGTCTGCAGTACCACATCCCAAAGTCAGCATCTCTTTGATGTCTAATGCAACTTACAATTCATGATGTTTTCAGATAATTATTATCTTATGCAAATCAAATAATGAAGCAAATTAGGTAGTGATTCCACCTAGCACGTAGTCTATTAGAAGACATGATCTCAGACTGTGAAGATAGTCCGGATCCAAACTCAACTTCGTCCATATCATTTGGGTCGTCCTGTAAAAGGAAAAGGACTATTGGAGCATGGAAACACAAATATTTTCAAAAAGGAAAGGCAGAACTGCTCGAGTATGTGAAGACAATCTATTTGGATATAAACTCAGTGTTCGCACCTTCAAAGCATTTATGAACGCCTCTGATTCACAAATTGTAGAAAACCGCAAAGCAAACTTCTGAACCTGAAAAGAAAAAGTGCAAGGTTACTGGAGTTCAAGAAAATAACGAAATTTGATAAGATTCTGGTCTTATCAAGCATATAACAAATTGGAAAGTGTTAGCAGCTTGCCTTACTAGCGGAATCTTTATAGCTAACAATCACAACTCTGCAACCCCTGGCAGGAAAGCCAGAGAAACATGACACCTGGGGCCACGAGAAGTTCAACTTGGAAACGTAGTGCTCTTCCTGCAGCATTTTGACTATATAACTCAGAAGTATAAGGAGACTGGAAGCCGTACATAGATTAATCAATACATGAGCTGTATCAGTAACCACCGTACAATATGCTTCAAGAGCTTAAGGATATCAAGCTAGCTCAACAAAATTGGAAATGATATTAAAGCAGGAACAACCACACTTACAAAAAGATAGATTCAGCTCAAACAATAAATTTAATAAATTATCCACCAAACGGTAGAACTATTAAAGGAGCTAATCCATGAAATACGAATTAGGCATGCAATTTTTACAAACTAAGCTATTGAAAAACTAAAGAAGAAGCTAGCACAGGCCTATGAAATTGGAACTCATTATACATATTTTGCAGGCTTGAAAGAACTACAAAATAAATTAATGCTTGATACTAATTGTCCGATTCTCCAAGAAATCAATCTTCAGAAATCTGTTAGGCACGAAGTTAATAGACCTTAAAGTCTGGATCCCTGCGTCCTGTCTTATTTCTGTCAAAAAATGTGAGGAGAGAACGAAGTCGATCAAACTCTCCATCTCCTGTAAGTTACCTCAGGCTAAAAGAACTCTAATGCGTACTCGGTGTTGGTTTCAGTTATTTCAGAGCTTGGCAACCAAGCTATCTTTCTTTATACTTTCAACATATTCTCCAAAGTCTTCCCGACGACAAAAAGGAATTAATAAATCTGAACGCTCAAAATTCCGATCAGATAAAACGAAACTCGAGGGGAAAAAGGCATCCAAAACAATCTAAGCCAGGAGCTCCGCCAAAAATCCAGAAAGAAAGACTCACAAGGATCTTATCGCGGAAACAGATGATGAGGATCGCATCAGAGGTGAACTGGTCCTTTATTATCTGCAGAGAAGCAGCTGCTGAAGAAGTGGAGAGCCAAGTGCCTTGTTTCTGGCGAGAACTATTGTAAGTGTGGAGAGAAACGAGAGATTTATGAGTAGAAGAAAGAGAAGGATAGGTGAAGAAGCGCGCAAAGTCGACCAGCCACTGGTTTCCATTAACAGCCACCGGCGGATTGTCGAGAGGCTCGCTCGCTACTATTGCCAGGGATCCCGCCATTTCTAGCTGTTATGATTTCCTTTATTCTTCAAATTGTATTTAGCACCAGCCTACAAATTACAAGGGTAATTGAATTAGAATTTAAAAAGTTTTTTTTATTCAATCTTATTACAAAAATATCTTTATTTTATTAATCTATTAAAAAAATTTAAGATTTTCAGATGATTGTTATATTATATTTTTATTAAATGATTAATGATTTAATGTATAATGAACTATTAAAATTACATAAGAAAATATTTTGGTAACTATATTTAAGAAGATATTTTTGTAAATTACCTCAAATTACAGAATGTCTACTGTACAACTCTCTGCTTGATGCCAAATGCAAACAAATAAGGAAGAGTGCCAATGACCAACATCTTCTCCTTTAAGCTATATCTTGAGTAAATAAACAGTGTCGAGAGAAAATTAATTTTAAGTGACAAACTTATTTAAAATTTTAAAGATATAAATTATATATATATATTATTAGAAAATCATAAAAATTATTATACATTTAAATTAATAAAAGATAATTCAAACAAAATTCCGCACTTGATGATTTAGCAGCAAAACAGAATTATTTTCTAAATCCATTCTTTTATATTTGCACCCTTTCGCATTTAAAAGCTTCCTTCGACTTTTTAATGGAGGCTTCGTAGCTTCGTATAATCAGAGCAAACACGAAAAACATTAGTTTTCATTTTTATTTTCCTTTTCGAAACAAAACAAGACACCTGCATTTAGCCTTCCAACTAGCAACAAGAAGCAAAATAGGAGCTTAGTTTTCAGAGGCAGGGAAAGAAAGCATCGTCATGAAAGCTCTCATCAATTTCGAACCGTCTCTATCTTCAATATATTCAATTCGAACCGAAAATTCTCAAAATTTTTACGGTTTAAGTTCCTTTCTCAAATTTTCAACTTACAATCATAAATGTTCTTTTCGACGGAAGCCTGGTTGTTTGACCGTTAAGGCTTCACTGGATTCCGCGACGATCGATCAAATAGGACTAAAAGAGTCCGATATTAGGAATCCGGCGATTTCTTCTTCCTATCGGAGCTCCAAGTTCACGAAGCCTAACCAGACAGTACTCGAAGCTCAAACTAGGGTTTGCACGGGACCCACGCAGACCAAACCTCTTAGTGAAGAGCAAGCTTTCAAGGTGTTGGATACCATTTTAAGATCAGGTTATCCTTGCATCTTTGTTTTTGTTTTTCATTAACCCTTACGTTAATCGATATTTAGAAAGAGATATCGATGTATGCTGCTTGTCATTACATCCGGCATTTATTTTCAGATTTTTCGGTAATTGATACTAAATTTTAATGAGTTATATGTGGCTCCATTATCATTATGCTAAATGATACTATTAAGTGTATGTTTGTCAGAGGGAGAGAAGATGGGATAGAATGACAAGTAAAATGAGAGAAATATTTTCCCATGTCAGGGAGAGTACTAAATGAATGAAACAGAGATAAGGGAGAATCATTTTCGCCCATTCTCCCTCCTCGCCAAAAAATTTTGTCCCTAAAGTGAAGGATAATGGGTGGAATGTGAATGAATATAAAATTTATTTTGTGTGATTGACTAAATTATCTTCATTTTTGTCTATAAATAACAGGGTTATGCCCATTAACAATTGAAATTTCTCCCTCTCTCCTTTCTATCTAAACAAGGTAAACTTAACGCTCATTTGCATTACTATCTTATCCAAATAGATAAAAGATTTTTCATTCCGTTCCATTCCATTAACTTTTGTTCCGTTCTATTTCATTCCATTACTCAGCATTCTCTCACAGCCAAAGCCTTAAGGACCAAATTATTGTTATGTTCTTGTCCAGATACAAGAGATATATGCCTTATGCTTGTTAGCAAATGGTTAAATATTTTTCAGATAATCTACCAAATGTAGACTTTGATTAGTCTATTTACTTCAGAAGAGCATAGGTTGGATCATTTTTTCCATTTCCTTGGTGATTCCTGGTCCTAACTTTTATGTCATTGGGTGTGCTTACTTAGAAACAGTGAAAGAGTTTAATTCTTGCATCTAATGAATCTAGAAGTTTAATTTCCACTCCTAAGAAATTTAAGGTGGGTACAGTTCAACTCAAACACAAAAGATACTATTCTAAAGCTAACATAAGAATAAGAAAATCTCTTAACAAACAATAAAATTAAAAATAAAATCAACTAGGAATAATGAACGAAGCAGAATCATGTAATTGCTAAGGTCTTCAGCTCTTGGGGTTTGAAGTTATTATAGCACCTAGTAGATAGCAAGGTGTCCTAGCTCCTTGTTGCTGGCTGACTGGGGTTTCCAGTGTGGAGATATTGTTATAGATCATGATGAGGAGGAAAGTAGAAAATACCATCTAATTAGGTGGGAGGAGGTGAAGAAACCAGTTAGTGAGGGGGGGCTGGGTTTGAGGTCCATTAGGGAGTTAAACTGTGCATTTCAAAGGAAATGGTTATGGAGGTCGCTTGTTGAAAAGGGGAGGATGTGGAGGGAGTTGGTGAGGGTGAGGTGGGTAATTGGGACAAGGAGAGAGGTGGGAGGGGAAGAA